CACCATGCTCAAGATACTATATATATATATATATTTGTGGGGCGCGTGCAGCTAGCCGTAGTCTGTTGATAGAGTGTCCTCTTTGAAGGTTGTAGTCACGGGTTGGAATTCCCCTCTAGTCAGTTTATCGGTAGTGAGGGCGTTCCTCGATGGCCAGTTTGTCGGTAGTGAGGGTGGTCACGGTTCGAATCTACCGCGTACTCAAATCAGTTGGTTGGACATTTATTGTCAATTGTAAGTCCCATCTGGTCCGAGACGCATGAGGGGTATTCGGGGCTCGTATAATAGTCTCACGTCATTTCTTTTTTTAAAATACACACACACACACCTATATATATATATTCAAAACTTAGAATGGAATAATATTTGATCTAATTTACACTATCAAATATTTATAATTGCTAATTAATCCACCAAAGGGATTGCTACATAATTCAATTGATTAATTTATGACTATTTTGCTAAATATGGTGCCATGAGTTGATAAAATTAATTCTTATGTATTTAAATTTCTAACACCTAAAATTTGCTTTTTATATTTCTACCACACAAATCTTTTATATCATGACATAAGAAAATATCACTATTATAATTTTTAAGAAGTGAAATACCTATTTTCATGCATAGTTAATTAGGCCTCATATATTTAAAAATTGAAGTTTAGGCATTAGATATGTAAATATATAGGAATTGTTTGGTATTTATCCAAATCTTCCTTTTATATATATATATATATATATATATATATACATACAAATATAACCAATCCATATCTGTTCAAAGATGCAAAATTCAAACTCTTTAGTCATTAATAATCTACAAAGTGATAATGTCTTGTTTACTTTATTGCCTCTTTTTTAGTTAAATAATAGGGCAGGTGGATTTTATTCTATGATAAAACATGTTCATAAGGTCATTGTGACTATTATTATTATTATTATTATTATTATTATTATTATTTTTTTTACATTTCCACTAACCCAATTCTTTACTATAACATAAAAGAAATATGTATTTTTAGGCATAGATAAGGTTACATGTGTAAAAATTGAAGTTTAGATATTTGATATGTAAATACATATTTCCATCAACTAGGATCGGCCAAGTAAAGGAAATAATATTATGTCTGTCGTGTGGAAGTGCAGACGATGGTGTAGATCGCACCACACCGTCCATCTGGTGGCATGGTATGATCCACGCCTTTGACTACGTATACGATTTACGAGACGTATTATTTTTTTTTCGGTCAAGTGACCCACTAACTAAGAATTGGAGGGATTTGGCTTATTGTTATAACTAACGGTATGGTTCGAAATTAAACTCGATTAAATTTATCAAGCGCAAGCTCAAACTGAGAGGGGCTTTAGCTCAACTTGACTCGTTTACACTCCTTGTCGACCGCTTTTGAGAAGTATCAATCCAAAATGATCAAAGAACGAATTTTGTATATAACAAATTCTATCAAGTAGTTGACAAGCACGCGAATTATAGTTGATTCTCATTTGTTGTCGTAGCGGTTATGAAGCAGTGCGCTTGGGAGACAACTTCGGGAGAATTTCGGGAGACGTTGCGCTTCATTAACAAATGAAAGATTTTCCACGCATAATCTCTTTCTCAAATAAAGCCCAACTATGATGTAAATGTAAATGTAAATGTAAATTTTTAGTTGTTGGATAGGTAATTTGGGATGTTTGAATAGGCAAGTTTGTAAATCCTTCTATTTTTTAAGATGATGAAGTAATCACATGATAGCTTAGGATATTAATGGGAGATTAGTTGGAATTATTCATTTATTTTGTTTATTTGTTTAGTGGTGTGAATTTAAATCTCTTGAGATCAAATTATTATAACTTTTGGAGAGGGAGGGCTCAAAATCTATAAATATTAATATGATATCTTATGTCAATGAAAGAGATTAGGTAATGATATGTGGGCAATGAAGATCAAATGAGGTCATCTAAATAATGAGGTTCAATGATGACACTCAGAGTCTGTTTGGAGTAGCGGTGCGGTGGCGGTGCGGCACAACACCACAATTTTGTCTGTTTGGATAAACTGTGTTTTGACAGTTATTTCAAAAAAGTTGTTGTTGAAATCAACATATTCCCACTAGTCCTCGTTAGGTGTGGTGACATCTTTCTACTTGATTTCGAACTTTTTCCAAAAAAAAAAATTATAATTGTCATCTCAACTTTTTTGCAACATTTGATTATTTTTTGATAGCTTCACAACTGCTTCTTAATAAGTTGCAGCTGCCCCAAACAGAAATAATAATGATCGATTGATGACAATCAAAAGATAGTGTTCGAACGATGACGATGACTGTAGTATACTAAATGGTGATTGTTAGGGATGATTGTTAGCATTGAATGTCTAATAGAGCTCTAAATTTTTTATGTCAATAAAACTTTATCAATTTCAAGTCATAATCCTTTTATGTGCTAAATAAATAATTATTTTGTAATTTTTATAGCAAAATTTTTAAAATTTTAGCCTTTAATAATTTTAGCCTTTTTAAAAAAAAAGATTTGTTAGATGGTTTGTTTTAAAAATCCTTCAACGTCGAATGACTCAAAATTAAATTATTTTTTTTCTATTAAGGGTTTGTTTGAGGCAACTTCAACTTATTAAAAACAGTCATGAAGTTGCTGAAAAATAGTTTGAATTTCAAAAATCTGCGGTTGCTATTACAATTTTTTCATCTTGCTAGGATCAGTAAAAAAACACAGATTTAAGCGGCAGTTTTTTCAAAATGCTGCCAAAACGTAGTTTACCTAAACAGACAAAACTGTTGTGCGGTGCCGCACCGCCGGCCCAAATGAATCCTAAATTTCTGTACTCATTTTGATTAGAAATATGCATTATTCATAAATCATTTGACTTAGGCTCTCATTTAATTAGATCCAAATTTTGTGACTTGGAGGTATATAATTGAATGTTATATATAATAACATTGCATAATCATTGCATTCCCAAATCATGAAAATAACTAAAATCAATTTTACAATAATTTTCTAGTGAGAAGATTTCAAGGACTAATAAATTCAAGAGTGTAATAAAAATTGATATCTTATGTCAATGAAAGGGTTTAGGTAATGATATGTGGGCAATGACGATCAAATGAGGCCATCTAAATAATGGGGTTCAATGATGACACTCAGAGCCTGTTTGGGGTAGCGGTACGGTGGCGGTGCGACACCGCACCACAGTTTTGTCTGTTTGGATAAACTGTGTTTTGACAACTTTTTCAAAAAACTACTGTTGAGATCTGTGTTTTCTCACTAGTCATGTCTAGTTGTGGTGACAGAATTCTAGCTATCGGATGTCGAACTTTTTCCAAAAAAAAATTATAATTGTCATTTCAACTTTTTTGCAACATTTGATTATTTTTTGATAGCTTCACAACTGCTTCTTAATAAGTTGCAGCTGCCCCAAACAGAAATAATAATGTCCCAAACAGAAATAATAATGATCAATTGATGACAATCAAAAGATAGTGTTTGAACGATGACGGTGACTGTAGTAGATTAGATGGTGATTGTTAGGGATGATTGTCAGCATTGAATGTCTAATAGAGCTCTAAATTTTTTATGTCAATTAAACTTTATCAATTTCAAGTCATAATCCTTTTATGTGCTAAATAAATAATTATTTTGTAATTTTTATAGCAAAATTTTTAAAATTTTAGCCTTTAAGAAAAAAAAATTGTTAGATGGTACGTTTTAAAAATCAACAATGCGAATGACTCAAAATTAAATTATTTTTTTATTATTAAGGGTCTGTTTGAGGCAGCTGTGTCTTATTAAAAAAATATTTTTGAATTTGTTAAAAAATTATCTGATGTTCAGAAAGTTGGGCTGGCTATCACAAATTTTTCACCTTGCTTTGTTCGGTACGAAAATGCAAATTGAAGCGGCAAATGGACCCTATATTTATGCGGTGCCGCACCGCCGCCCCAAATGGACCCTATATTTATGTACTCATTTTGATTAGAAATATGCATTATTCATAAATCATTTGACTTAGGCTCTCATTTAATTAGATCCAAATTTTGTGACTTGGAGGTATATAATTGAATGTTATATATAATAACATTGCATTCCCAAATCATTAAAAGAACTAAAATCAATTTTACAACAATTTTCTAGTGAGAAGGTTTCAAGGACTAATAAATTCAAGAGTGTAATAAAAATTAAAGCTTATAAAATATCTCTCTTCCTGCTCACCATCATGTACATGATCACAATCATGTATGGAGTATTTACATAAATACCATCCAAGTCCTATGTATTTACACATCAAACACTTAAAACATTAATTTTTACATTTATACCACCAAATTCTTTTTAATTACATAAAAAATACCATCATTTTAACCTTTAAATAATAAAATACATTTTTCCATGTAAAAGTAAAATGGTATGTATATAAAAATTTAAATTTAGGGGTTAGATATGTAAATACATGAAAATTTAGTGGTGGGTATGTAAATGGTGTGTCCATCCACTTGATTTTACCTAACAAATTTTGACATTTTTCCCATACATTTTTTATGCCAAATGGCATTCAATTTCTATGATTGTGACATTATTATAAATGAATTGCATCCTCTCTTTAAATGATATTTGTTATATTTATCATAT